GGGGGGGGGGTCTTGTTACCGGGGGGGGGGGGGTGTTAGTTGGCGCACGGCCTCCGTGCTGCTCACGCTGTTGGTAGCGGCCAGTGCCTGACCTTGTGAAGGTCCGTTGAGAGCACCGAGTCCTCGTTACAGCCATGAACTCGGATGCATCATAAATGCAGTTTCAGTACAGACGTTCACTCCTAAAAATCTGCCTTCTCTGGAAGAAATGCATGTTCCCTGTGCCCCTTGAGTATGAATGCACCGATTCCGACCAGTTTTCCTTTGCAGTCTGGGAACTGAATCGTCTTTATCCCATGTAATAAATGTGCCCGCTAAGTACCTGTCACCATTTCTTAAACTACTGCGTGGTATGAGAATGAGAGTTGGTTCTGTCAGGTATGTGTGTAGAAAGCACGTCCTTCCCGCCTGTGTTCACAAGCACTGGAAGTGCGTTTCCTCACAGGAGTCAGCCGGATCCAACGCCGACCACCACGAGGCTCACAGGCGTGCTGAGAGGGATGGGCCATTTGTGCATGACGCTTAGTAGCAAAGAATTTGGATTATTGCATTGTGAGGGGTTACTCAAAAGGAGAATGCAGGGAAGGGCCATCTAGTTTAGTGAACTGCATCAGAGTCCACAAGATGCAGATATTTGGCTTCAAATGGGAATGGGGTGGAGAGCCAGGGCAGCCACAGTGTTCCAGCGGTGAACTACTTTCTTCAGAAAGATTTTTGCAATAGCCAGCCTAAATCAACTTTCCTGTATGATGATTTTCTCTTCCTTTTCTTCAGCAGACAAGTAGAACAACTGATCATGATCTTCTAATAGGTTGGGCAGGGGTGTGTGCGCGTTTTTTTGTTTTAAATATACCTTCACTCTTTTTCAAGCTGTATCCAAATTCTTGGCCTCATAGGCAGTGTTTTCTTCCCTGGATTCTTTCCAACTGATTTACATCTTCCTGAAGGTATCATGCCTAGACTTGGATATACTATTCAACTGCGGCCTCATTTGTTACAAGTAGAATGAAATAAGTACTTGCTACCATTCTCAAATTACTGTGCTATAATAGTATTTTTCTGTCTGCAGTAACATTTCACTGCTAATTCATTATTATATTATGGTACACTGCAGCTCTCGCATCCTATTTCAATACATTGCTAGTAACCTATTGTTCCCCAGTTTATATTAATGCATTTACTTTCTCTTTCAAAGTGCAATCCTTCACACTTTATGGAATTTCATGTTATTTAGACTGTATTTAAAATTTGTCAAAATATTTTTTCTCCTCATT